ACATCATGCTGGGTAGAATGGAGGGACAGCGAAGGAGGGGAAGACCCTCTATGAGGTGGATTGATTCAGTGACTGGGGCATTCGGGATGGGTGTGTCAGAGTCAGTGAGATTGGCACAGGATAGAGCACGGTTTAGGACTGTTGTACATAGGGTCGCTATGAGTCGCAAACGACTCGACGGTACATACCAACAACAACAACCTATTTGTTGTTGTTAAAATACCACTGAGTTGGAACCGACCCATAGATGACACTCGAGGATGTTTTCAAAGGCAGCAGATCACATGGGAGTGGGTTGTTTCCTTTAGAAACTGAAATACAAGGAAATTTATAAACAATTTCTTGTTCAGGAAAGATTATAAAAAGGATTTCTTGGGAAAAATTTGAGCCTACATATTAATCTCCTTATTTATAAAAATAAGCACATGAAGGACCAAGGAAGAACTCTTGAAAAAGAGTGAGGAGTTGGTTCTTGGAATCATATTTATACTAGAAACATACTCCACTAGTAAACCCTTGTACATCCTCACAAGCCTGCTTCAAGACTATGATGATCAAATTAGAGAATGTCTAGAACGTACTCAGTGGTGCGTGGTTATTAAGAGTGTACGCAGTGGTGTTTTGCGTTGGTGTTTTTAATTTGCCTTCTTACCAAAGTTGATGAATTCATATTGAAATACATGTTTAGTCCTCTGTAGAAATAATTACATATACTTGCTTAGTCCTTGAGCATCTGATACTGGCTTTGCTTGTTTTGTTATGTGCTGTCAAGTCAGAACCAACACATAACTGAACCTCCACTGGGTTTTCAGAGCATTTAAATCGCACAAAAAGATACTGCCCATCTTTCTCCTGAAGAGCAGTTTGTGGATTCGAACCACGAGCCTTTGGGTTGGAGCACAACTCCTTACTGCTAGACCAAAAGAGCTCTCTTCCTTTACTATAAAATAGGTTAAATGTAACTGGGCTACCTAGATTTAAACTCATCACTCTTTTTTTTTTTTCACATTATGTGTTTTATTCTGTAGAATAAGTACATATGCTCTAATAATAAAATTGCCTCAAATCATTTAACGATCTTAACCTTGACTCAACCAGAGGATGCCTATAAACATAAATGGAAAAGCTAGTATTTTTATAACATAAAACAATTTCATTTATAGTGTATCAGTTATGTATTGTCCAGTTAAAAAAAGACAGATGGAGAAGTACATTCTCTTCATTACTGTAAGATGATGGAGGCTATTTTTGTTAAAACTGTCTGAATTTGCTAAGTGTCATTATAACACATAGTCCAAAGAATGCCATAACCTCCTTATCATGTTACTTTTTCTTTTTTTTTAACAGTCTATCATGTTGACTAATTGAACAATAATTCAAGTAAAGTATCCCAGAAAAATCAGTACTCTGTTGCCTTGTTTGGAGTCTTGCTGGTAGCTCTGAGAATGCCAATGATCCCAGCTTGTAAGACTCCTCACATGCTGCCCCCAGGCTTAATTAACATAGTCTGAAACCTCCACGTCAATGCTTGGTTGGGACTTGCATGGCCAGGGCCTTTTGAAAACTAGTGTCCCAGTGAATTACTAGATGAACTCATCACTCTTGATGGAGCTCAATCCTATTCTATAATGACATAGACTGTAAACAATCACTCTGAACAAAATGCACAAAACTATGCCACCAGTGAGTGTCAGACAAGCCTCAGAAGTGACGGTCGTATTTCCTAAGTATAACTTTATCCCTCAGTATTACTATGGACGTTCTTCAGGAGGCCTGGATTCCTACAGTGTGCTTGCTTGTTTGTCAGCACTGTGAGTTCTTTCACCCAGTGTTAAGAAGATGTTGATGTGAAGTGAGTGAGAGAGAGAGAGAGTGAGAGAGAGTGTGTGTGTGTGTGAGAGAGAGAGAGAGAGAAACCTCGTAATACTTCAGATTTCATTTTGGATTTTGAATGGATTTACCATTTGACTTGTAAAACGCCAAAGCCCACATTCCCAGATAATACAGTAAATTTATTTGTTTTTAAGGGCTCAAGGTGGACACTGCAAGCATCAACTATGAGTGGAAAAATTGTAAGTGTCAGACATCAAGGTATTTTACGTTCTTTCATTTTAGTCATTTCTCCTTCCCTTTCATGTCATCCCCAACACCCTCAAATGTTCCCCTGTGACAGTTTTTTAATGACTTTTTTTTTCTTTTTAGGGAGTTCTTGAAATTCAGCCTGATCAAATGCAGGTAAGAGAACATATTTTAGTTGCTCTCAGGGATCCACGTCATCTTTGTTAACAGAGATTAACCTTGTATCTCCACTTTCTCTCTAGACAGTGAACGCCATCTTGATAGTTATCATGGTTCCCGTTTTCGATGCTGTCCTGTATCCTCTGATCGCAAAATGTGGTTTCAACTTCAGGTGGGTGAGCGCTTGGTTTGGGTTGGGGCAAGTTTGTTCTCTGGCCTTAAAATAGGCTGGATTCTTCCAGCTTCTGATGCCTTTTTGACAAGAACTTGTATATCCTCTTCCCCAACCCCGCCTATATGATGAGGTGTTAGAAAGTCAAAAGACGTATTTCACTTAACAGATGTTTCTGGGCTGGTGGCTTAAAACCATACCTTTTTTAAAAAGTGAAATTAGTGGCAGCAGGAGAAAAAGGCTTTTCTTAGGTTGCCTTTATATATGTGTAAGAGAGCTCTCTGGTGATGTATTCTTTAGGACATTTTGCTACTAACCCAAAGTTCATGCTTCTTTTTGGTGATTTGAATCTAAAAGAAACTCTGTTGGGGGCTGGGGGAAGATAGATAATCTCCTGTGTAATTAATTGACAGCTCTGGATAGGGTCAACTATGAGCTGATGCCAACTTGACAGTATTGACTTGAGAGTTTTATATGTATGTGAAGGAGCTCTGGTGGAATAGTGTGTTATGGGTGGACTGCTAGCCAAAAGGTTGACAGTTCAAATCTACCAGCCACTCCACAGGAGAAGGGGTAATCTCCCATTAAGATTTACAGCCTTTGAAGCTAGATGGAGGATTGTCAAGAGTTGACATCAATTCAGTATCAGTAGGTTTGGTTTGGGGTTGGTTAAAATATATGTTGTTGTTGTTGACTGCCATCGAGTCAAGGTTGACTCATAGCGACTCTATGAACAAAAGATCTAATGCCTTTCCATAACTATCATTGTTTCTCCAAGTTCATAGAGTTTCTAGAGGCATGTGGTTTAGGAAGTGGATGCCATTCCTGCTTCCAAACCTGTTTTACAACTGGGAGCTCCACCAAACATTGTCCACAATGGGAAACCATTATGATATTTGATATCCCCATAGCACAAGGTTCATGATCACAGCAAACCCAGGTTACTTCATACAGCACATTGACAAAGAGTGATGTGCAAAGTGGAAGAATTTTCCTCCAGATATAATAGCACTAGTCTCATTTAGCAGTGGTTAAGTGTTGTTGAGTTGAATACAACTCAGAGTAAGCTTTGCACAAAAGACCTGAACTCTGCTCTATAACTAACATCATTTCTGTACATTTATAGAGGTTAGAGAGTTTGTCGAGTTCCCAGAGGCACCTAGTTTAGGAAGTGGATGCCACTCCTGCTTCCCAACATGAATCAATCTGGAAGCTCATCCAACCATTGTACATAATGGGTACCCATTATGGTATTTGACAAGACTATGGAAGTGTTCAGCATATGTAGATGAAATAAATGTTAACTATACTACTAAAACTTTCCTGAACTAGAAAATAAATGTAAAATACAGAGGAAAAGAAATTTCACATTGATACTCCATTACATTTTTATAGACGAATATATATATATATACACCTATATATTCTTTTACATTTATGCTTCTTAATAATAATAGAGGACAAAATTCCAAATCTAGATGTTTGTTAAAAAGTTAGCATTGTGTGAGGGGTGCAAGGGTGAGAAGTGTTTCTTGTGGGGGCTGATAGCTCTTTTGTGTGAGACTTGTTGAAATGCATTCTGTTTGTCCTGAATTAGCTCCTTGAAGAAGATGACAGTTGGGATGTTCCTGGCGTCCATGGCCTTTGTGGTGGCTGCCATTGTACAAGTGGAAATTGATGTGAGTTGTCTTCAGAGTATCTTCTCTGGTGGGTTTAGGGGCAAAGTTCAGAAGGTCTCTTTCTCCAGGGCTGAAAGGAATAGAGGAGCCCAGAGTCTTTCTCTGCAAACTAACCCTGTAGCTATGGAAGATGTAAAGCAATAAACAAAATATATTTACTTCTTACACATCAACTATCTCATTATCTGACATTTTCCACCTGTGGTTGGTGTTAGGTGCCATCAGATTGACTACTTCTCAAAGTGACCCTATGAACAACAGATCTGAACCTTGTTCTATCCTGCACCATCTCACGATCTCTGATATACTCAAGCCCATTGTTACAGTCACTGTCTCAGCCCATCTTGTTGAAGGTCTTCCTCTCCATCTCTGACCCTCCACCTTTCCCAGTGTGGTGTCTTTTTCCAAGGACTGAGCCTTCCTGACATCATTTCCAAAGTCTATTAGATGAAGTTTCATCATCCTTGCCTCTAAGGAGCTCCACCCAGTTTGCATTTCCTCCCAAAGACTTGTTCTTTTGGAAATCCAGGTGATAGTCAGTACTGTTACCCAAAACCACAATTCAAAGATAGTGATTTTTTTCGCCTCTGCCATTCTTATTCATTGTCCAACTTTCAGATGCATAACAAGTAACTGAAAAGACCATGTCTTGGATCAAGTGCACCTTAGTCTTTAAACTGATATTGTTACTCTTTAACACTTTGGAAAAGCCCTTGACATCTGATTTTTCCAGTGCCACACATCTTTTGACTGCTTGACTGTTGTTACCACGGTGTTGATTGTGGATCCAAGTAAAATAAAATCCTTGGCAACTTCAATCCTTTCTTCATGTTTCATGATGTTGTCTATCGGTCCAGTGGTGAGGATTTTTGTTTCCTTGATGGTGAGATGTAACTCATATTGAAGACAGAAAAAGGAACAACTTAAAAATGTAATTATTCAAACATCTCATATAAAGAAAAAAATCCTTAAAATTGAGCCAATAAGCAACAACATGATAAATGGAAAAAAGATCAAGTTGTCAAAGATATCCATTTACTTGGCTCTGCATTGAACACTTATGAGAGCAGTAGTCAAGAAACCAAATGATATCTTAATTGGGTAAATCCACTGCAATGGACCCAAGTGGTAAAGAGCCAAGATTTCACTTTAAGGACTCTGCAATGGCTGGCCCAAGTCAGGGTATTATTCTCAACTACCTCATTTGCATGTGAAAAGTGGACAGTGAATAAGGAAGCCTAAAGAAGAATTGATACCTTTGAGTTATGATATTAGCAAAAAAAGAAAGAAAAACAAACAACAAAAAAAACCCCACCATTGCATGTAACATGGACTCCCAGGAGAATCTGTCGAAGAAGTAGAGCTGGAATACTCCTTAGAAATGAGGACGGTGACACTCTAGCTTCCTCACTTTGGCCATGTTGCTGGGAGGAACCAGACCCTGGAAAAAGGCATCTGCTTTACTTGGTAAAGCAGAAGGTCAGTGAAAAGAGGAAGACCTTCTACTAGGTGAATGACTGATGGCTGCCTCAATGGAAGCAAGCACAGCAGAGATTGTGAAGCTGGCCCTGAACTAGGAAGTGTGTAATTCTGTTGTTCCCTAGGTTTACTATGAATTGGAACCAAATCAACAGCACCATGCAAGAAGCTAAACACACATTGAAATATATACATATTGTGTATATAAACTCTTACTGAGAGTGGTGGAATCTCCCTACCCACAGGTCATACACACACACACACACACACTTTTCTCAGTTGCAAGCAGGCCTTTGTAACGACAGCAGTCTCAGTTTTACTGTTAAATTTTTGGCACCGTTTTGATGAATATTGATAAATTCAACATGAGTAGGCATTTAGACTTTGGTTACTCTGGTTGCCTCGGATAGTAGGCAGTTTTCAACCAGGAGGTACGTAGGTAAGACCACAATCAGCCTCTTTGTTACTTCACCAATGTTACATAGAGATAGATTTTTCTCTGGGTGTCAGGATACAAATGATTGGGAAGGACTACTCCTTGACACCTTGCTTTATTAGATACCTTTGGTTTGCTTCAGCCAACACAGGTTGTTAAGACTATTGAGAAGTAACTCCGAAGACTGGGGTAGGGTTATCATCAAGGTTGTGCTGAAGAACTCACTGTCAGTTTTAATTTCTTTTGCTCAGAAAACTCTTCCACACTTCCCCAACGGAAATGAAATTCAACTTAAGGTATTGAATATAGGAAATAATAATATGACTGTGTCATTTTCTGGAACACCAGAGATCTTTACCCCCGTGTCTTTCTCAACACCTCCAGTAAGTAGCATGAAATGCAACTTTCTTTTTTGGTCTTCTGATCTGCTTTATAATAAGAGTTGGCATTTGTTCTTCTTGGTCTTTGTATAAACCTCAAGTTTAGCCACACGGAAAATCGAGTGATGTCTTAATCCTAGTTGTCTTCACTCTAGACTAGTGCATCTCATACTTGAATGTATATAAGAATCACCTGGAGACCTTGTTAAACTGGGGGTTCTTAGTAGTTTTAGAATTTTGCATCTTTAACAAGTTCTCATGTGCCAATCCTGCCACCAGCCCATGGAACCACATTATTATTATTATTATTATTATTATTATTATTATTTATTGCTGTTATTATTATTATTATGTATTGCTGTTATTATTATTATTATTATTCTTGTTATTGAAAATTTACAGAGATTTTTTATTTCCATTCATTCATTGTTGCACAGAACCACATGTTAAATATCAAGGATCCTTCCCAGAGTTTCTATAGTAGAAAAAACTATTTCTAGTAGAAAACTATGACTTGGGAAACACAGGCAATCTCTAGAGATATTATGGTTAGCATGATAGGATTCTATGAGTATCTTGAATGCTTTTGAACATCTCACAATCCACAGTAAAGTACTCACCAATACAAAAATGCCACTAGTGCTAAGGTTAGGCTGAATAATCCTATGCTGGCTGATCGTTGGTTGCAGTCATTGGTGACACTGGGATCTCCTGAGGAATTTTAAAAATTTGATTCCTGGGTTTCAACTTTAGAGATTTTTGTTTAGTCTCATTCCTCCACCGCCAAGATTGAGGATCACTACCTTGCTGTTGTTAAGTGCAGTCAAGTCAAGCATAACTCATAGTGACCCTGTGAGCAAAAGACCTGAACCCTGTTCTATAACTATCATCATTTCTCTACATTCATAGAGTTTCCAGAGGCATCTTGTTTAGGAAATAGATGCCACTCCTGTTTCCAAGCCTGTCTCAAACTGGGAACTCCACCAAACTTTATCCATGATGGGTAACGATTATGGTATTTTATACACAAGTGACACAGTGTTTTGCATCACAGCAACCCCAAGTTATTTCAGTACAGTAAATTGACAGACCAGTGCTGTACCACTTAGAAGAATGTTCATCCCAAACACAATTAACACCAGGTCCAAAGCATGCAGGCCCCAGGGCCCACCCAACTTCCCCCCCCCCCACCAACTAACTCTTAGATAAAAGACATGCCCAATCGATCCTGTTTGACTCTAAACAAGAGGCTTCCAGCCCACAGCTCATTGTTAGCTAAACCTGGCAAATCAAATCAGCTCACACCTAGTTGTGAACAGTAAAAACAACCAAACAGTCTACACCCAACCCTCACCAAAACAAGAGAACCCACCTTTCAGAATCCAACCATTTCACATATGAGCCTCCAAACTGGATCACTACTTTAGATTTTGCCAAACTAATTACCCTGGTGAAGGCACAGGCTGTGACAAAGTGCCAGTCTCTTGTCCCTAGGGTCACTATGAGTTGTAGTTGACTTGATGGAACCTCACAGCAAACAATAACCCTGAAGAACAACAACAACAACAAAAATTGCTTCCTGGGATGAGAGGAAGGCTGGTATTGGCTTTTTCATGGGTTAATACTTTTCTTTTGATATTTTTCTTTGCCTAATGGTAGGAATAATTTCCATAGCATTCATTATAAGATAAAGTGCTTAATGAAAACCTCAATATCTGTGGTAATCCTGGCACTCTTCCCCAAGCATCTCTTAATAAGTTTGAATGTTAAATAATGTGCCCCATTGCCAAGTGCACAGTTTGTAACAAGACCCCAGAGAGACTTTTCATGGTATTAACTATCACTCCTTTCCCTTTGATTGTAGTCAAATGAATTTAAGACTTTTGAAGCAGACAAATTGCCAAACATAACCTTCTCCCTTAATGGATTACAAAACTCTTCAGTAAATTATGCTTTTAAAACGGGCCATCGCCATACCCTTCTCATCTGGGGCCCTGGCCAGTACCGAGTGGTAAGTTGCTTGGCTCTCTTTGTTATGTTGGTACCACAGCTTCTTGGTGATATGACTTTGGGTTTTTACCCATATGTAGTGTTTTGTTTTGTTATTGTGTTTTTTTAGAGGATTTTTTTTAATTATTATTTTTGTGTGTCAAATCAGATCTGACTAGTACTGGAGAAGATTGAACCCCCTTCTCCAGCAGAGCATCTGGTTATATAGTGTTATTATTTTAGATAATTGTCAATTTCTGTCTTCTTTAAGAACAAAAATCCTTTAACTTCACAATAAAACTTTGGTGGAGAAGAAGAGATGATATGAGTTATAGTTTCTACTGAGTGACTGAAAAACTAGAGCAATCTCGGGGGGCGGGGGATATATAGTAAGTATATGAGGCTAAAATAACAGAAGTACATACAAGGAGCTCTGGTGGCCTAGCAGCAAGAAGCTGTACTACAATCCTGAAGGCACATGGTTTGAATCCACCAGCTGCTCCACAGGTGACATTAGGCTATCTCCTCCTGTTTGATTAACTGCTTCTAAAAAAGTGCTGGAGAGTCAGCTGCCATGTAATGAGACTTTCATCGTAGAAAGATGTTTCAAAGGTACAATTGACTAAATAAATACAGGAATGGTAAGCATTCTGTAGGACTGAATTTAAGTGAATTTCTATAGAAGTCCAACATGGAATGAGGACCTTCTTAATCAGGCATAGGGCACTATTAAGTCACATAAAAAGTGCTAGAGGCTCATGTTAAACTCAAGGAAAACCAGGGTCACAGAAATAGAACCCTTCAAATGTAGTAATTATGTCCTTGCCCACTACTGGCAAGTGGATTCTGCCTCAGCAACCCTCCACTGGGTTACACAGGCTATAAATCTTTATGAGAAGAGCTGCCCATCTTTCTTCCACAAAGTGGCTGGTGGCATTGAACTCTCAACGTTTCTGTTAACCACCTAGAACGTTATGCTCTACACCAGCAGGGCTCCCATTATGCCCTTGCCTGCTCTCATAAATGTAAAAAATGCTCCTTTTCAAAGGTTGAAATGTTAATCAGGATTGATTCCAATTAATTAGATTCTGAAAAATTTTGTGTTACTGTTTTCTCTCAGGTAAAGGATGGCCTTAACAAGAAGCCAGAGAAAGGAGAAAATGGAATCAGGTATGTGTGTTTAAAATTTAAACCATTTTATGGAAATAACAGGAAACTCTGTTAGCCTGGTGGGTAAGGAGTTGTGCTGCCCACCAAAAGACAGGAGATTCAAATTTACCAGCTGCTCCATGAGAGAAAGAGGGGTTGTGCAATTTATAGCCTCTGAAAACCCTCTGGAGGATCACGTTTGAGTCAGGTCCCACTTGACAGCACAGAACTACAGCATGGAAATAATGCACACTCAAAATAAAATCCAACTGCAAGTGTCTCCATGGAAGCAGATGGAGAATGTCCTCCCATGCGATTTATCGCCTTGGAAACACAATGGAGAGTCAGTTATGTGTCTGTTCTGATTCAATGGCAATGAGCCTTTTAAAGTACCAAGTATATGAAATAAAAATTATTCCAAGAATGTAAGGAAAGTTTAATAGTAAAATGTATATCCATCATGTTAATAAATAAAAGATAAGTCTACATTTCTGTGTCAATTAGCACAGAAAGATACTTAACAGTATTCAGTATCTCCATCTATGGTTTTTTTTTTTAAAAAAAGAAAGTATTAGGGAAACGGGGAGATCAACGTGGGAAGAACTGATGAAAGGACAATATGGCTATTGCAGTTAGCAAGGAGGAACTTACGCATAAAACTGTTCAGAAGGGAAGGGGGAAGGAGAGAAGCAGGGGCGGGTGGGGAGAAGAAAGAGGAGAAAATAGCACTTTATTATATAAAGCACAAGGCATATGAATGAATGAATTTATAAAATACAATGCACAAGAATGAAAAAAGGCATTGATCAATAGTAATTAATGATATAAAACACAAGGTATATGAATTATTATGTAAAATGGTGTATATTACAGGATTGAATGAATGGAAATTCAGTAAACTTTTGTTAGAATAAAAAATTTTTAAAGTATATATAAATGACTGCATGAAAACCAATTTAAAAAAGAAAAATCAAAACCCAGGCTTTTTAGCAAACTAGGAATAGAATGGAACTTCTTTACCTTGTGCTTAATAGTTAAAATGTTAATGCTTTATTCCTAAAATTCAAAAAAGGGTAAGATTGTCCACTCTCCTTATTTTTTATTATTATTATTAATTTCTTTTTCATTTCAATGAACATCTACAGAGATTTTGGAATTCCATTCATTCATTCATTGTTGCACTTTTCTCCCCGCCCAGCCCTCCCCCCCGCCCCGTTCGCTCTTCTTTAAAAGCAAAAGAAAAACTCCTTCATTGGTACACATTCCCCCTGCACACCTCCCACCCCAAATATAATCCACTCTGCAACCCTCATTTCATACTCTTAGGATAACTGGAATAAATTATGTTCACTCTCCTTATTTTTAATTGGCATCCTTCTGGAAAATCCAGCCACGGGATTAGACAACATAAAAGATGTACAAAACATTCAGACTGGAAAGGAACGAATAAAACTGTCCCTGTTCAGAGATTAAATTATTTCTACATATAAAGACCCAAAGGTATAAAAAAAGCTGATAGAACCAATATGTAACTTTTTAAAGGATACAAGCTGACATTAAAAATCCATCATATTAAAAAAATCCATCATATTTATACATAAATAATGAACACTTGGAAATAAAATTTTAAAGCCATACCATTTAAAATATTCCCTGGAAAAAAAGAAATACTTAGGATAAGTCTAAAAACATGACCAGCATGTGAGTGCTGAAAATTATGAAATGCTCACAAAAGAGATGAGAGAGGAGTTAATAAGTGGAAAGGCATCCTGTACTCATTGATTAGAAGATAATACAATAAGGAAGCTGAATCTCTCCAGGTTGATTCATATATTTAATGCAATTTTTATCAAAACCATGGAACTCATTTTTACAGATGTTGGCAAGCTAATTTTTATAAAATATATATAATATACATAATATAATATATATTTTTAAAGTAAATATGGAAATTCAAAGGAAGTAGAGTAAGAAGAGTAATTTTAGAAGATGTATAAAGCGGGAAGAGGCGTATTACCACCCTTTTTTTAAAATTAGGTTTTCTTTTTAAAAACATCTTATGCTGATTTAGCTACAAAGTTCACATACATTGTTTTTCACACTGGTTCTTTCCCATTTCTTTCACCCCACCCCACCCATCAAATTTTGCGACCCTATGATTAATACCTCCACCCCTGCCCATCTTCAGCCCTCTTCTCCCACCATCCCCCCTCTCCTTAGATCCTTATACTTGTTCTATAATAATGGTCTTTTACAGTATTTGTCCTTATGGGACTGAGTTAATTCACAGAGCATAATGCTCTCCAGCCCCTCCCACGTGAGGTAGTAATTTACAAAATCATTGCTCCTGCATGCTGTGTAGTATTCCATCGTGTGACTGTACCATAATTTCTCAATCCATTCAATTTTGGTTGGATATTTGGACTGTTTCCATGTGCTTTCTATTTACCGCCAATTTAAATCTTACTTGAAAGCTACTCAAATCCACCAGAGACTCTGTGAGAGAAGGGTGGGCATTCTCTTCCTGTGCGACTTAATGCCTCTGAAAACCCACCAGAAAGTCAGCTATAGGTTGATTCTGACTCAGCTCAACAGTACTCAACAACAACTAGAGCTATAGTCATCAAGCTGAATTTGCATTGATTGGCAAAAGAATAGACAGCCCATAATAAAATCCACACAAGAATGGTCAGCAACCTGCTCACAAAACTACCAAGACAACTCCATGGACTGATGGTAATCTTTTCAATAAGTAGTGTTGAAATATTTGGATATTCACACATAAAAGGCAAACTTTTTATTATGCTCTCTCAAGAGCTATCTACATGGGCCCAAACTCACAACTAAAAATATTAAATAAGAACCTATGGAGATAGTTACTGTTCATACCATCAAGTCAGAACCAATCCGGACCTGACCCTCTACTGGGTTTTCAAGAGGCAGTTTAATCATATGGGAGAAGATTGCCCATCTTTTCCACATAGCATTTGTTGGACTTGAACCAAGTGCCTTCAGGATTGCAGCATAGCTTCTTGCCTGTAAAGTTTGTCAATGAGAAAGGGACAATAAAGAAAAAGAAGAACGGTAATATATTCTTATTGTTATGTGCCATCAAGTCACCTGTGACTCATAGTAACCCTATGTACAACAGCCTTAAACCAGACTCTATACTGTGCCAATCGCATTGTCTCCGACACCCCCACCCCAATTACCCCAGTCACTGACTCAATCCACCTCATCAATCCCAAAAGCACTCAGTTCAAATCCACCCGCTACAACACTGGAGATGGATGGACATTCTCCTCCTGAGTGATTAACTGCACTGAAAACCCATTGGAGGGTCAGCTATGGGTCTGTTCTAACTCAACAACAGCCCAAAACAGCCAACAAGCCATCAAAGCTATCAAAATTGGTTAGAAAATAGTGTCATTTAAAAAGAACAGATGTTAAGTCATTTCACCCCCTCCCATCAATATGAGGTATACAAATGACAAAAGAGCAAGTGAAAACCCTGTTGAACTTTATTGTTGTTGTTGTTACATACTGCTGAATTGAGTACAACCCATTATTAACGATTCTATGAACAACAGAGCTGAACCCTGTACTATCCTGTGCCAGCCTCATTATTCTGACACATTTGAGCCCTCTGCAGGAGTCACAGCGTTAGTCCATCTGATAGAGGGTCTTCCCCTCTTTTACCAACCCTCTACCTTCCCAAGCATGATGTCCCTCACCAATGAATATCCTATCCTAGCAAGATGCCCAAAGTGTGTGAGATAAAGCTTTATCATCTTTGCCTCCAAGGAGCACTCTAACTACCCCTTCTCCAAGACATGTCTGTTCTTTCAGCAGTCCATGAGGTATAGAGTACTTTTCAGTACCACAGCTCAAAGACATCAATTCTTCTTCTATCACGCTTATTCACTGTCTAGCTCTCAGATCCATAGCAAGTGATTGAAAGACCATGTCCTGAATCAGGCACATATTCATCCTCAAACACACATCATTATTCCTCAAGAATTTGGAGAAGTCCTTCACTACATATGCTCCCAGTATAATATGTCTCCTAATCTCTTGACAGCTGTTACCAAGTATATTGATTGTCAATTCAAGTAAGATAAAGTTAACAATTTCAATGTTTTCTCTCTCTGTCATGATGTTGTCTATGGTCCGGTGGTGAGAATTTTTGTTTTCTTGATGTTGAGATGCAAACCATATTGAAACTGTATTCTTGGATGTTCTTTAAGTACTCCTTCCTTTCAGCAAGCAAGGTTGTAACATCTGCATTAATACAGGTTCAACTCGTTGTTGTTGTTGTTGTTAATTGCTGTTGAGTCATAAGCGACTCATCATGCCTCTATGAACGAAAGACCTGAACACTTGGATAACTTTCATCATTTCTCCAAGTTTATAGGTTTTCCAAAGGCAAGCTATTTTGGAAGTGGATGCTACTCCTGCTTACAAGCTTGTTTTAATCTGGGAGTCCCACCAAACACTGTCCACCATGAGTAACCACTATTGCGTTTGACCCATCAGTGTCACAGTGTTCAGCTTCACAGTAACCATGAGTTACCGCTGTACAGCAAATGGACAGACCAGTGCTATACCACTTAGAAGAATGCTTAACTAAACACAGTTAAAACCAGGCCTGAAGACCATACCATAGATTAAAATCACCCACCTTTGGGTTGGTAGCATCACTTTCTGTCCACCAGGCCAACTGAGCTCTGCCTATGTTGTTGTTGTAACATAAACTCTATGTTGTTGTTGTTGTTGTTGTTATGTGCCGTCGAGTCACTTGCGACTCATAGCGACCCTATGTACAACAGCCCTAAACTCCGCTCTGTCCTGTGCCAATCGCACTGTCTCTGATACTCCCATCCCAATTATCCCAGTCACTGAATCAATCCACCTCATAGAGGGCCTTCCTCTCCTGCGCTGTCCCTCCACCCTCCCAAGCATGATGTCCCTCTCTAAGGACCAGTCTCTCCTCACAACATGTCCAAAGTATGTTAGACGGAGCCTCAGAATCCTTGCCTCCAAGGAGCCACCCGGTTTAACCCTTTCCAGGACAAATCTGTTTGTTTTCCTAGCAGTCCATGGTATTCTCAATACTCTTCTCCAGCACCACAGTTCAAAGACATCAATTCTCCTTCTATCCTCCTTGGTCATTGTCCAACTCTCTGATGCCAACTCTATAGCAAGTATAAATTAAAACTGCCCATAGTTTTATGGGAGGAAGCACCTGAGTCTTAAGGTCTACTGCAGCTTGGAATATATAAGGAAGGAGTCTCTAAACAACTGTCCAGGGGGTTGATCCCCTGTATAATCCTTTGACAGCAAGTCACACAACTGGTTTGGTGCAAAGCTTAGCACAGAGAAGTCTGCAGAGAGTGGAAGGTGTGGGACCTAGTACTAGTCTTACTGGATGTTCCGTTCTGCGCTGCATTCCAGCAGAGAGAGCTGGCTACTGTGACCCTGAGACCTGACCACAGGGGTGTCACCTTCTTATACAAGCCCCTCAAAACTACCTCTTTTCTGCTGGGTTGACCTACTTCCTCTTCACCAATTCTTGACACGGCTTCCTTCATCAGAATCGTAGAAGATTTCTTCCCCAGCTCCCTCAAAGAACCTAGCTGTATGACTTTAAATATAAGGCAACTCCTTCTTTGGTCCTTTTTTTAAATTAATTTTAATGAACATTTACAGATATTTTTTTTTATTTTCATTCATTCATTGTTGCACTTTTCTCCCTGCCCATCCCTCCCCTCCAGTTCACTCCTCTCTTTGAAAAGTAAAAGAAAAATTCTTTCATTGGTATACAGTCCCCCTCCCACCCCTAGTACACTCCACTATGCAACTTTCAGTCTGGACTCTTGTCATAACCATAATACCCAATCTTATATTGCTTTTAAACTGTTTTGTATACTGCATTGAAACAGATGAGGTCCTTTTTTACATTAATCCTGAAACACAAAAGGTAAAGGTACCACTGCCTTATTGAAGTGGAAGAGACTGATCTAAACCTATTTCAATTCCAACTTAATATTCTAAAATATTGTTGAACCAGTCATCTACTGGAGCTGGTTCTATAGAAGCCTTTGGCTGGAATGGGTGAGCTGTAGGATGGAATGTTGATTCACTAAGGGAAGTGATAAGGCCTTTGTGATAAGGCCTTCTATTTAAAAATCCATTTGGTTTAAATTGTTTTTTGTCAAACATTCTTCTGCATGGTATAGCACTTGTCTGTGCATTGCTGTACAGAGGTAACTTGTGGTTGCTGTTATGCTAAACACTGTGACACTGATGTGTCAAATGCATTAATGGTTACTCATGGTGGACAGTGTTTGGTGGAGCTTCCCAATTAAAACAAGCTTGGAGGCAGGAATGGCATCCACTTCCGGAATGGTTTGCCCCTGGAAACTCTATAAGCAGTGCTCTGGTCTTTTGTTCATAGGGTTGCTATGAGTCATCTATGACTCGATGACACTTAACAACAACAACAGTTAGTATTTACAAAGAACTCAGAACAGCACCTGGCATATACAAACACTCTCCTTAATAAAGAAGCCCTGGTAGTATATAATGTGTTGGGCTACTAACTGAAAGGTCACTGGTTTGATTCCACCAGTCACTTCACAAGAGAATAGATATTAAATGGAGTGTTGTCGAATTGGAAATGACTCAGTGGTAATGCATGCTTAATAAAGTCTATTAGGTGTCAGGTTATGATCCAGCAAGGAAGAGCAAACCTAGTGTTGTTGCCTGTATAATCTAGACATCTGCAAACTTCTTAAATTACCTTCATTTAAAAAAATACCAAACTTGATTTCAGATGCACTAACCATGGGTAATTCTGTAGTTCAGTTACAAGACAAATGGTTTTCTTCTTTCAGATTTGTCAACACTTTTAACCAGAACATCAGCATTGAGATGGCCGGGAAAGTTTATGAAAATGTCACCAGTTACAATGCCAGTGAATATCAGTTTTTTCCTTCAGGCGTGTAAGTACCTAGTAGGATACTTTGCTCCTAATCTCAAGGTGTTTATTCCCCCCTCTAATTAATCTGTTCAAGTGTCTAATGCCAAGGATGTTAATCTATGTTATTCTTTCTTTTAACAGAAAAAGCATCAATGTAACATCAGCAGAGATTACATCAACTTGTGCAAATTTAGAATCTTCCAAACTTGAATTTGGTGGTGCTTATACCTATATAATAACAAAGAAGGTTAGTGACTCATTGCATTGTAAAAAAAAAAAAGGCGCTATTCAAATTTAATTGATACAAATCCTCACAAATAGTGGTGGTGGTTGTTGTTGTTGTTTACTATTGAGTCGGAACTAACCTATAGCTGACACTGGCGAGTGTTCAGAGGCAATCCCACAGGAGGAGATTGCCTATCCTTCTCCTGTGGAACAGCTGGTGGCCTCGAACTGTGTGTCTTTGAGATTACAGCACAGGTTATTGTCACTTGATGACCAGAGCTCCCTCACAAATATTTAGAATCTAATAAATCTAGGTCGGATAGCCCTGGGTGTCCACTTGCCATACAGAGGTGTGGTCGCTGTGCAGCTGAACACTGTGGCACTGATGTGTCAAATGTGGTAGCAGTCACCCACGGTGGACAGTGTTTGGTGGAGCTCCCCGGCTGAAACAAGCTTGGAAGCAGGAGTGGCATCCACTTCCGTAATAGCTTGCCTCCAGAAACTCTGTGAATCTGGAGAAATAATGAAAGTCACGCAAGTGTTGAGGACTTTCGTTCATAGAGTTGCCTACGACTCAAAGGCACTTAACAACAATGACAACAACAACATTATTAGAGTGTGTATTTTAAATAGGCATAGGGTTAATTCAATTCACCACAAATTCTTTAACATAGCACTTTAAGATAGTGATCAGTCACTACCCTACAATCAGTATGGAGCTCAGGAGGCCTAGTGGTAAGAACCAGCATTGCAATTCTAAAGGCACGTGGTTCAAATCCACCAGCTGGACCAAAGATAGGCAGTCTCCTTATGAGTAATTTACTGCCTCTGAAAAACCCACTGAAGGATCAGCAGTGAGTCAGTTCTGCCCTGATGACACACCACTACACTACAATATCACTGATTTGAGTTACCCAGATGAAAAGTAAAGAAATTAACAGTTCATGTATCTGATGCTTCCTTAACCAACTACTAACAGGAACTTTAGGAAGTTTTCGTTCAAATGGACAGTTATTTATTAAACAAACCCAACTTCTAATCTACTCACTTCTGCAAGGTGAAATTTACAGTAACTGTATTTTCAAATATCATCAATGCTATCCCATCCTAAGTCTGAAATGAAACATTGCATATTTACTTGGAAAAAAATATACTTACGTAAACTTACGACTTAATCCTAAAGTGTAAAATTTCATTTTCCTCTTCGAGCAAATTGTATTATAAGCACAATCTAGTGTTTTTTTAAATTGGTTTGCTTACAAAATTCGTTTATATGGTGTTTCACACTGTTCTTCATTCATATTGTGTTTCATACACTCATTCTCATGCATTATTTTACGAAATTAATCACCATTGGACCTTGTCCATCATTACCCCGTCTTTTCACCCAGATCCTTCCCATTTCCATCCTCCTCTCCCTCCACCTACCCAACTGTGCAACCCTGTAGTTTCACAGCTACCCATCCTCTATCCTCACCCCTCTGCTCTCACCCCTTCTCCCTTTGGGTTCCCATGCCTGTTTTACTAGTTATCCTTCTATTTTTTGTAAAAAAATTATTTTATTCATTTTAATGAACGTTTACAGAGACTTTGGATTTCCATTCATTCATTGTTGCATTTCTCTCCCCGACCACCCCTCTCCCCCTCCCAGTTCACTCTTTGCTTTGAAAAGTAAAAGAAAAATTCTTTCGTTGGTATACAATCCCCCCCTCAAGTCCACTCCACCATGCAGCCTTCATTCTGGACTCTTGTCATGCCCATAATTCCCGATCATATATTGCTTTTAAACTGTTCTCTCCCTCATCTGTTTCAACGCAGTATACATAATTTATCCAATTTTTCTCAGTCTCACCCCAACCCTGATGTCAGTCCCATTCTACAACAGTGGCACTATGTGGTATTTGTCCTTTTGTGACTGAAATACTTCACTCAGCATAATGTCCTCTATCCTTCTATTTTTACAATAATGGTCTTATGCAGTATTTGTCCTTATGAAACCTCGTTCACTCAGCACAGTCTTGATTCTCCTTTCTTTGTCCTCATTTTTGTCTTACTGTTTTAGAGCGATGGTTGCCCTGAAAAGACAGAGCTCTTGGACATTCCCTCCAACACGGTGAACATGGCGCTGCAGATCCCACAGTACTTCCTCCTCACCTGTGGAGAAGTGGTCTTCTCTGTGACCGGCTTGGAATTCTCCTATTCCCAGGTGTTTGTTCATTTCTGTACTACCTTACTGCAGTTACAATCTGTTCTGCTAACATTAATATCTGACTGGTGGCTAAAAGACAGATGTCAGCAACGTCCCACGTGCTTGATGTGCTGTCCCACTCCATCGTTTCTGACATGAACTGTTCCTCTCGGTTCAGTCCCCTCACTCTCGTCTGCGTCTTTTGAGTTCTGTGGTTCACTGGAAGGTCTCACAGAAACTCATGTTTGTCAGGGAAACGACTCACTTGACTGTGGGTGATGCAGGCCAGTGTGGCAGAGACTGGGGAACAATAACAGGCCAGGATCCCCTAGACTGTCAGGTGCAGCATAGCTGGATGCTGTGTCCCAGGAGAGCAAAGGTCCCAAGAGAGCAAGAATTGAACTTCCATGGGCCTCTAGTAAGGAAGATGTGTGGGATGGTTTTGCTTGGAAATTCATCTGTAAAAAAAGAATTGGTTCCTAATTGTTGTTTTTGTTGTGCTATTGAGTCAGAACCGACTCATAACTGACCCTTCGGTGGGTTTTCAGAAGCAATTAATCACATGATAGGAGGATGCCCATCTTTTTCCTGCAGAGCAACTCGTGGATTTGAACCACCTGTCTTTGAGCTGGCAGTACAATTCCTTACCACTAGGCCACCAGAACTCCCTAGTTCCTATCAAGATTTGTATATTTCCCATAGAAGACAGCTCTAAAAAAAAAAAAAAAAGAACAAGAAGAAGATAGCTCTGCAGGTAATAGTTTGAAAGCCAGGGAGTTTTATAGCTCATACAATATGAGTGTTTGGGTGTGTTACTCTCCAAGTAATTATCCTTTGTATAAACGTGATGACTTCCTTCATTTGAACCAGCCTGACTTCTAAGAGGCATTTTGGTTCATTAAATGAATCAGCACGTTGTGTTCTCCTGCTCTGAGGTGAAGATCTAAGATTCACAAGTTAGGATTTGAATTCACCTTGCTTTGTCTTTGCAGGCTCCTTCCAACATGAAATCAGTGCTTCAAGCAGGATGGCTGCTGACGGTGGCTGTTGGCAACATTATTGTGCTGATTGTGGCCGGGGCAGGACAGTTCAGTGAGCAGGTACTGGGCAGAAAAGCATGCTCTACACCCCTCTGTCTGCATGTGGACGTGGTCATCTGGCTGAAATTGCCAGACCAGGCAGGCAGGGCTGGTGCATGGTTGGGAAAGGAAAACCAGAAGAACTGGGCTGGATTAACATGTGGTTTATTACCGAAGGAAAGATCTTTTGTATCTTTAGTGAATAAAGCTTTACGCGCCCAAATCAGATATTTCACCAGAAAAAAGTTTCTGGTGAAACTTTTTATCCCTAAATCCCATAATCCCTAAAGGGACTGACACTGTGACCATAACAATGGGTCCAAGTGTATCAGAGATGGTGAGGGTGATGCCGAAAGACAGGGTTCACATCTGTGTTCACAGGGTTGCATCAATGGCCCCTAACAACAGCAGCAGCGGAAGCAGCAACAAAGGGAAGGCTCTTCTAGAAGCTGGTTTAATTTTTCCACCGACACGTAAATGAGCCGATCCTGGTACATAAGCTCTCTCCTTCAGCATTTCAGTATTTGTACCCCAGCTCCACCTCAGCCAGTCCCAGTGTGTACGGGAATTGTTCCTTTTTTTTTTAATTTTTATTGTATTATTTTTACATGTACCATCAAATCAGATCTGACTGGTACAGGAGGTAGGGAATTGTTCTTATCCCTTGAGTCTCATTGCTTCCCTAACCAAGCCCCATCAGATCATATTTTAAAACCTTGTCCCATAAGCTCAAGATGTTGCCAAGGAGAGAGGTCACACAGAGAGTGGCACAGCTCAGCTTATTATTATTCCTTAAAAGATAATGCTTGACATTCTCTTGGTCTCCAGCCTCCCAGGGCCCAGCTATGGGCAGCTTTAGGCTAGAAGTTTCCAGAAATGTTCCCTTTTCTTCTTAAAAGTCTGCTTCCTCTGGACTTCAGGACAGTGGGAAAAAAAAGAGTTCTCCACACACTCGGGCTTTCAAGAGAGACTGGCCACTCCACTTTACTTCTGTGGCAGTCACTGGCCACTCTGCCTCCAAGGTGATGACTAGCCTCTCTGTCTCAATAGCTGTTGTTGTTGTTGTTAGGTGCCATAGACTATATGACTCATAGCAACCAGTAGATCTGAACGTGGCCCTATCCAGCTCTTTCCTCACAGTCTCTGATATGCTGGTGCCCATTCACTAACAAGTGTTCCTCTGTGTCAACCTGCCACTCTGCATCTATGGCAGTTACCTACTGATTTTCTATAAAAACTTGAAGTATCTTCCACATGGAGCTGGCAAGAAAATGTACTTAAGGTGTATGCATGCATCTAACTTGTGTTTTCCTCTTTTGTTTCTTTTCTTCTCGCTCCAATTCCATCAAAGTGGGCTGAGTACATCCTGTTTGCTGCACTGCTGCTGGTTGTCTGCATAATATTTGCAATCATGGCGAAATTCTACACATACATCAACCCAGCAGAGATTGAAGCTCAGTTTGACGAAGATGAGAAGAACAAAAAGTTGGAAAAGAATAACTTCTATCCCATGACAGAGACTGACCCACAGACAAAAATGTGACCCTCCGGAAGCAAGGGAGGATGGACTGGGCCCAACATGCACCCTGACTTCTGTCCCTAGGTGGCAAGATGTGTTTTGGATGGCCCTTGATGAGGACGACTTCAAAATTGTGAACCAAGCCAACAATGGTATTTTCTGTGTATACAGCAATGGACATAAAACTTTGGAAAGGTTTTTTATTTTGATTTTGGGGTGTTTTGGTGGTTTTTTTTAAAAAAATCTTATTTAAAACACTGTAAAGGTATGCTGCACCTAACTCCTTCCCTACCACAGAGAATAAAGTTATTTGGGACCGATTTAATCTTTTGAGAAAGCAACAATCCTGCATGTTGTTCACACGTGTACACGCTAAATGACCACAGTATTGAAATGAGGAAGGGGCCAGTGCAAAAGATGAATTTACATATTTTTAAATGGTATCCAATTACCAGCTAGTATTAATTTAAGTGGGGAGCTCTGGTGGCGTTGTCCACAAGGAGTTGCTCTGCTCACCCTCAGGCAACCCCTCTCCGGCCATCCTCACCCACAGTGGCTCCATTGGAGAAAGAAGAGTGCCATTTACAGCCTCCAAGACCCCCCCCCAAGAGGGTCAGCTGTGAGTCAGTTTCAACTCAAAGACTGTGAGATTTTATGTTCACTTGGTTAACTTTCTGGTTTCTACTTTCAGTCTGTACCTCTTTTTAAATTATATGTAACTCAGAAGACCACTCAGGCTAAGACAGGAATAGCTTTTTGAATTTTCAATGGTATAAAATAAATTCCAGCTCTTAAAAGTAAGTGTTCCTGTGTCTTTGGGCACAGTGACAAATCCGTAATGTGTTCTCTGATTATAAAAGCAGTACATTTTCATTACAGTTTCTTCCGAAGTTACTAGAAAGCATTGACCAAAGCAATCACTAAGCCTGACAGATCACAAAAGCATGAGGAATACATTGAAGAGGAGGTTGGTTTACTCTTAGACCTTTCAGTCCCAGATAGCCATCCATTCCTTTCACTAAGATATCTCCGTGTGTGTGTGTGTGTGTGTGTGTGTGTGTGTGTGTGTGTGTGTGTGTGTGTCTACTGTGTACATGTTTAAATGCTTTTCTTAACATTCCTGACCACTGTGCTATTTGAATAAAATTTTTCCAAAAAGTAAACACTAAGTGCCTCATTTAACCTATCTCTTTTTCACCATTTAACCACTCTCAGGTATCAGACACAAAATGATTCTACTTGGACATTATTATAAAAGCAAGTGGTTACTCTTACACTTCCCACAGATCTGAATATTGAATCTGGTTCCTGGGTTGAGAGTAACAGTCCGTGGTCAACCACTGAGATGCTTCATAGAGCTCTCTGTTGGAGTTTAGGGTAGAAAGAAGACACACAGCATGAGAGTAAGAAACACACAGGTGCTCATAAAACTTGTTTAAAATCTACAGGTTGCGGGAAAATATTTGGTGATTATACATCCAGCAAGAAACTCATCTCTAAAATGTATAGAAAACCTTAAAACCTGAGGAAAAGGGGGGAAATCAAACTACCAAAAAATGGGCAGAGAAGACAGACACTTCACCAAAGAAGACATTTGCGTGGCCAATAAGCACATGAGTAAATTCTCAAAGACCATTAGCTAAACAGATGCTATTCAAAACAATGAGATATCCACTTCAGTAAAAATAGCAAGCCTGGTGTTGATTGTGTTTGGAAGAACCATTCTTCTGCGTGGTAGAGCACTGGGCTGTCAGTTTGCTGTACTGAGGTAACTGGGGTTGCTGTGATGCTGAAAAGTATGCCTCTGGTGTGTGAAATGCCATAATGGTTATCCTTGGTGGACAGTGTTTGGTGGAGCTCCCAGATTAACACAGGCTTGGATGCAAGAGTGACATCCATTTCCTAAACATCATGCCTCTGGAAACTCTATAAACTTGGAGAAACAATGATGGTTATAGAACAGAGTTCAGGTCTTTCATTCCTAGGGTTGCTATGAGTTGTGCTCGACTCAATGGCACTTAACAAGAATAACACATCACAAATACCTGGTAGAGTGTGAGGGATTGGAATGTTCATACATTGCTGGTGGGAATATAAAATGGTGCAACCACTATAAAAAGCAGTTGGGAATATTTGGGCTGTTTCCATATTCTGGCAACGGTTAATAACACTGCTATGAACATTGATGTACAAATCTCAATTTGTGTCTCAGTTCTAATTTTCTCAGGGTATATTCCTTGCAGTGGAATAGCTGGATCATACTGAATTTCTTTGTTTCTAAAAGATAGCTTTTTAAAGAAAGGCCAAACTGCCTTCCAGAGTGGTAGTACCATTTTACTGTCCCACCAACAGTGTATGAGAGTGCCTATCTCTGCATTCTCTCCAACATTTATTACTTGCTTCCCTGCTAAACTTTGCCACTGCTGCTTGGGTAATATGGTATCTCATTGTAGTTTTGCCTTGGGTCTTTCTTACTACCAGTGATTTTGAGAATTTCTTCATGTGTCTGTTGGCCATCCAAAGTCTTCCTCTGTGAAAAGTCTTTCCATGTCTTTTGCCCATTTTGTAATTGGGTTATATTTTTCTTGTAGAGGCCTTGTAGGATTCTGTAAACTTTTATTATGAGACCCTTGTCTGAGATTATAGTCCCAAATGTTTTTTTCCCAGTCAATAGGTTTTCTTTTCACCCTGTGGGAAAAACTTTTTGATGCACACAAGAATTTAATCTTTAGAAGATACCATTCATCAACTTTTGTCTTTTCCTGAATTGAGAAATTGTAGTATATTCACATGATAGAATACTATGCAGTACTCAGGAGCAACTATTTCAAAAATTACTGCATAACTTGGTAGAGACTATAGAGCATTATGCTGAGTGTACTTAGTCTCATAAGGACAAATGCTGTATTAGATCATTATTGGAGAAATAGATAACTAGAAAACATGTATGATGATCCAAGGGAGTGGGGAAGGCAGGAAAAGAGGGGTGAGAATAAGCGTGGGAAAATTATAGGGTCACACAACTTAGTGAGGGTGGGGTTGTTTTTATGTGCCCTTGAGTTTCTTGTGACTCATAGCGACCCTATGTGCAACAGCCCTAAACTCTATCCTGTGCCAATCGCACTGTCTCCGATACACCCATCCCGGTTACCCCAGTCACTGAATCAATCCACCTCATAGAGGGCCTTCCTCTCCTGCGCTGTCCCTCCACCCTCCCAAGCATGATGTCCCTCTCCAAGGACCTCTCCCTCCTTGCAACATGTCAAAAGTATGTTAGACAGAGCCTCAGAATCCTTGCCTCCAGGGAGCTGCCCAGTTTAAAACTTTGCAGGATGAATCTGTTTGTTTTCCTAGCAGTCCATGGTACCCTAAATACTCTTCTCCAGCACCACAGCTCAAAGACATCAATTCTCCTTCTATCCTCCTTAGTCATTGTCCAACTCTCTGATGCATAACAAGTGATAGCAAAGACCATGGCCTATATCAGATGCACCTTAGTCTCCAGAGAGACACCATTGCTCTTCAGTACTTTGGAGAGATCCCTAACAGCACTCTTTCCCATCACAATACGTATTTTAATTTCCTGGCTACTGGTGCCAAGAGGATTGACTGTGGAGCCAAGCAAACTAAAGCTGTGAACAATCTCAATCTCTTCACCAATTTGGTCCAGTGGTGAGAATCTTAGTCTTCTTGACATTGTGTCTCAATTCATATTGGAGGCTGCAGTCCTTGAACCTCTGCAGCAAGCATGTCAGATCCTCCTCAGTTTCAGCAAGCAGAATTGTATCATTTGCATAATGCAGATTGTTGATAGATTTTTCACTAATCTTGACCCCACATTTCTCCTCATAGAGCCCAGCCTCCCGCATAATCTGTTCTGCATACAAGTTGAAAAGGTATGGAGACAGGACACATCCCTGGTGTACACCCTTCCCAATTTTGAACCATGCAGTGTTTCCTTGCTCTGTTCTGACGACTGCCTCTTGGTCCAAGTATAGGTTTCGCATTAGCACGATCAGGTGTTCTGGGATTCCCATTCTTCTCAGAGTCAGTCACAGTTTGTTATGATCCACGCAGTCAAACGCCTTTGCATAGTCAATGAAACACTGACAGACATTCCTCTGGTATTCTCTGCTTTCAGCTAAGATCCATCTAACATCAGCTACAATATCCCTAGTACCATGACCCCTTCTAAACCTAGTCTGGACTTCTGGCAATTCTCTGCTGATGTGCTGTTCCAGTCATTTTTGGATAATCTTCAGTAGAATCTTGCTTGCATGTGAAATCAATGATATTGTTCTATAGTTTCCACACTCTGTTGGATCACCCTTCTTTGGGATGGGAACAAATATAGATCTCTTCCAGTCAGTTGACCAAGTGGTTGTTCTCCAGATTTCTTGGCACAATTTGGTGAGCACGCATTCCGCCTAAAGCAAAGGAAATGGGAAAGATCTTTCAGGGATCTGGCAAGACAGGGTAATTGTAGGCATAGTTCAATGATGATTAATTTTATAAAGCAAAATTAATGGGAATGATAGCATGAAACACAATGTATATGAACTTGTCAGCAAACCAATATAAAAAAAATTAAATGCTCTATATTCTACTTTGGTGAGCAGTTAAGGGAGTCTTCAAAACTGTGAGTTTACTCCTCAATCTATTTCTCTATTAAGTCCCACAACTGTGAGTAAAGTCTGTGAGTCTTGCAATGAAAACAAACAAATAAAAAATCCAAAAAACTGAGTTTAAAGTATAACTACCATTTAAGTTATAACTATTTTCCTCTCCCTTGCCAAAATTAAAAACAGTAAAAAAAATCATAAGAGTAAAAAAAAAAAAAGGAATAGAAATACCTTGATCCAGCAATCCCACTACTAAGACTAAGTATATCTCCTAAAGAAATAAGAACTGCTACTTGAACAAATATATGCATACCCATGTTTATTGCAGCACTGTTTGTAATAGCAAAGAGTTGAAAACAACCCAATTGTCTATTAAGGATAGATAGGAAACTGGTGCATTTA